TTTTTTAATAGGAAAATGCATTTAATGAGTGCAAAGTTTGTTTTTTGGAAAAATATCAGTATTGATAAAATGGGAGTTGTGAGGGTTTCTCATATACAATTTCTCCTTAGAAACAGAAGAGAAGCAGAAACAGGCATGTTGCAGAACTGAGCAAGTGTTTGGAATAGTTCAGGTGGACACCATACTTCCCAGGTTAGTTCTAGAACAGATCTTGAATTCTTTTTCTAAGGCCTGTACAACTTTTTAAGTGAACTATGACTGATCCGGATTCATTCCAAAGAGTAACCAGAGTGCACAGTTATGAAATTTGGAAAATGAGGAAAAAGGCAAATTCCTCATTCTGATTCAAAAATGGAACTGAACCTCAATTTCATACATTTCAGGTGGATTCCATAGCATGCACAAGGTTGCTAAGAACATTTTTTTCCCACTCTCCTTATTCACCATTTTGGGTTGGAATCTTTAAGACAAAGATTTTTTTTTTATTATTATTATTTTGTAGCTTCAATTCTAGTATTTTTATGCAGGACATGCATTAGGACTTTGCTCCTAATGAGTCAGGAAATGGACTGAAGAAAGATCGTCCACCTCACTAATAAACATTTCTTACTTGGCAATTGTAGAGTGAGCAGCAGACCACTCCTTATCCTCAACATTTAAGAAAAATATTAGAAGTTCCAAATATCTGTATTACAGAAAAAAAATGAGAAGTTCTGAGTAAGTTAATAAACTGGGAGAACTATCACCCTCCTGCTTCTTTGCCTCTATTTTTTTATTGTTTTTTTTTTTGCTCTCTTTATATGCAGATTTATTTAAGATAAATTCTGTTTTCTGATGTTATGATTATAGCAATGCTTCAATTAGGAAATGACAACTAGTGAGTTAACTTTTTTAGCTCAGCATATGTGGGTATGTACAAACTCATGCATAAACATAAACCAAACTACCCTTGTGGAAAAAAGGCTAATACCTTTTTTAGAGCATAAGTGAAAAATAGCAGCCAATGAAAACCAAAGATTGTATGATCCTAATTGCTGAGAGAATGACTTATTTGTCCATGCCACCCAAGAAGGCAGAAAGCTGAGGAGTGGGTAGATATGTGAGTAACAAAAGATAACTTCACAGTACATCAGCTCTGAGAGCTTAATGCACTTGTATTAAAGCATGAGTGTGTGGAGGCGTATGCAGTGACAGGCAGAAAGCGGTGTCTGTTATGCAAGTGGAATGAAGCCAAGCACAGAAGGTAGGGATTTTTTTTTTTTGCCATTGACTTCAAACTCTCAGTTTACATCCTTATAAAAGCAAGTTTTCAATTCAGCTAACAGCTACTGCTTACACAGTAACAGTAAATGTAAATTATCATAGTATTTGGTAGCTGTATTCTTTTTGACTTTGTAAAGGGCACTCTTTACTTGCCTTCATTCTTGCTTCTGCAGCAGGGATCTCTTTCCTACCTTGTCATTTTTATTGGATTAGTTGTGAGAACCTTCACATCTCTCCACTAGCTCTCCTTTTTAATACATCAGATACTATGTTTTGATTCTTTCAAGACTCTTTTAAGACTATTTCTTCTCTTACTATAAACTTGTTTTCCAGATCTGAGGCATCAGGTTTGGCCCCTAGCTGGTAAATTACATTGTTGCCCTTGCTTCTCTTCTAAGCCTCCAAACAAATACTTTCCTTGTATTTCTCATGGTATCCCTGAAACGAAGAAAACTATCCTTATAAACATCAGCAAACTCTACTAAAGTCTCCTTTGCCATGCTGTCTACAAAAAGGTTAGTACAGGTTTGCTGAGACCGTTGTGAGTAGCCATTTAAATAAGTGATTCTTTCAACTTCATTTTACTGATGAACGAATTTACTAGAGAGCTGTGCTGTGGCTGGCTTTGCCTTTGATAAGACATCACCAGATTCCTTTGGTCTTTCACTGCAGTTTTGACACTGTTGCTTTTCTTTTTTAGGTTTTTTGAGAAGACCGCCTTTGCATTTTTGTTGCTTATTAGAAAAAAAGGATTAAAGCGAACAAACATCAGCTTGTTATACCTGTCTTTGCAACATGCAAGAGTGTTTTTGTCAGCAGAAACGAAAAGTATTCACTACTTCAAGGTCAAATGTTGCAAGGGAAACGTCAAAGACATTTGAAAAGCTTTGAAAGAACTGCAATTCATTAAGTTTCTCAAAGAAAAGATTAAAAAGGAGAGAATAAGGCTGCCTGACTACTAAATGGAAGAAGAAGTAGGCCAACTGGAATTAGGTGCAATAGGAACATAGTAAAAATCTTAGACAGTATATTGTTTTTAATAGATCAAAACCCAGGATAAAACCAGCAGCTATTCTGAAAATGATGATTTGGAATATAAGCTACAAATTGTGTATGGGGGAGAAAGTAATAGTGCCTACAATTTTAAGGCCTACAGTAACAGATATTTCTCAATTTTTTCCTCTGCATTCCATTGGTGTCAGAAGCAGGAGTAATACCTTCCAGCAGCTTGCCATCATCCAATGAAGAAATTAGTTTAGTTAAAGTCTTTTATGTTTGGAATTACATTGGTAACCAACAAATTATCTTTTTGTGTAGATAAAAACAGTCATGTTATGCGAATGTTTTTCAAATGTAAGACTAGTTGAGGTCATAGTGCTAGTTCTACAAGTACAGTACAGGCAGACCAAGAAATCAAAAGTAAGAGAAAATGAATTCTATAGAGCAAAAAGTTAGGAGCATTGTGAGAAAACTAGAGGTGGAAGAAAGGAAGTAGGAATTTTTCCATGACCTATATTGTTCTCAAATTTCTTGTGGTGTGCATAACTAGAGGCCTATTTCAGCTCTGGAAAAAAAACAAAATAAACCAAAATAAACAAATGAAAAACCAAAAAATACCCTATCACCACCACCACAACAATCAACTATTTAGGCAATTTTATTTTTTACCTGGTCCCACGGTGAAATACAAAGGCACATTGAGTAGCTTGGCTCTTGTGGAGACTGTAAGAAGTTAGACACCAAAGTGTGACTCGCAGATTATGTTTACAGTAGAGAAAGCCATTCAATGAGCTAGTCAGTGGGAAACTCTGAAAACAAGTCACTTAAAGAAGTCACTTAAATTTCTCCCTCTTCAAGGCTCCTTCCTCTACAGACTTATGTCCCAAATACCCTTCTGGAAGGCAAGACTGAAATCCTTTCATTTACAAATGAAGCTGGATTTGTTCCTTTAAAAGGAGGAAAAGATGGTTCATTCGTTACTGAAGAGAAAAGCACTCGTCAAGTGATGAGGTATTCAGAAGCTCAACTGAGGACATAGTTTCCATCCTTCCTACCTTTTAAATCTTTCATTTAAAAACAAACACCACAGGATTCAAGGGGCTGAACAGAGAGCACAAAAGAAAGGCCCTTCATGTTGGTCAGCAAGATGGTTGTTTGAGTGGAAAATGTCAGCTTCAGTGTATTTATCAAGGCCTGATTATTCATTTTACCCAGTATCTCTAAAATACATCCCAAATGGAAGAAAGTTTAATGAGGGACCTTTAACAGGCTGTGAATTGACCTGATTGTTCAGTTTGGTCTAGGCTTTACAAAACTTGAGGTCTCTGAGGAATTAGAAAATCAAGTTGAGGTGTCTAGGGGAATCTGCTTGTCTCAGAGCATACTATGTAGAGAATTTCTTGACTGCAGTTTTTAACTATCTAAATTCTGCTAGAAATTCTTACTTTCCTTTTTCGGAAAGTAAATTTTGAGCTCTGAGAGATGGCATTTCATTGTGTTCATAATGCTTTAATCAACCAAAGTAGATCATAAAACTTCTAATCTCTTTTAAAACCACAGCTTTTTTATTCTCACAGGGCTTTGGTCGATAGTGTTTTACTCTTTAAGAATGATATTGCCACAGTAACTAAATCTCATTTCATGTGAAACCACTCTATTTTAAATTCCTCCTCCTCCAACTTGTTTTGGTAAATAACACACTGAAAACCTCTTCTGTGCTAAGATATGAAATTCTATTGAATATTAAAAACCATAATCACTTTATTAAATTCATTATATATTTTAGCAATGTCAGCTCTGACTAACTTCAGGGATCCCAAAGATGACAATTTTTTTCATCTTTTTTTCCTACAGGAGATAAAAATCTCATTTGAGTAACATAACAAAGATAAATTTAGAGTAACAGCTTCAAATTTGTTCATATTTTGAAGTTTCTTCTTTATATGTTGTACCTCAAAAAGTGTAAAAAAAATATTGCAGCAATAAACTGGGGTTTTTTTACTGAATATATTAATTAGACTTTTAAGCATAATCACATGATCCTATAAACCTTGACTCATATCAGACTAAAAGAGCTACAAAATCAATATACTATCACATCTGTCTCACATATATGTACACATATATATACACACATATAGATATATACACATCCGCACCCACACAAAGAGAGAGATATCATTGCTTAGTCCATGGACCAACCCCTATAAAGTTTCTGAATTCAGAAGGCTGTGCTTCCACCCCTGGGGCATGAGAAAACCTCCTGAATGTCTTAAGAGATCACAAAAGCCTATCCACCTGTTTTATTCCACAGACCAACAGATTTTATATATTACATACTGATGCATATTTCTAATATAAGCATTTTTGTGTATGTTATGAGAATATATAAGTATATATCATATATTATATGCTTCATATATGATGCATGCAAAATATAGAAATACGTAGTAATATGTAATTTAACTTCCTAGCAATAACTTTAGTCTGAGATATATAAAGTGTAAAAAAAAAAAATAGTTCATAATAGTCTTTGGTAAAAATAAGAAGAGATTAAAAAACCCAGAAAAAAGCAGTTGGATAGGAAGGAAGCTGAGACAAGACATTCTTTACCTTAAAAGGATGAGGTTCCCTTTGTCCTGAGGTTAATTTTTCACACCTGTCTGCAGTTCATTCAGGTTAATCCAGCGCATGTGATGCTTCAATTTGTAACAAACTCAGAGACAATAACTTGCAGGTGTTCTTTTAGATACGCTGTAACATAAAAAGTAGGTGCCTTTGAAATTGAAAGAACTTAAATGTTTCTTGATTTTATACTTTTAGGTATTCAGAACTGTTATCTAATCATTGACTTGAGCAACTATGCTTTACTAGTATGTGAATGTTTTGAAAAAGAAGATCTTTTCCTTCATTCACCTGTAGGTCTGTTTCATCTGTAATACTTAAATAGGTTTGTTTCAGTGATTATTTCTGTGCTTGTTTCAAGGCTTATAGAGATAATTAGAAATTTGATTCTGCCTTTTTTTCCTTTTCCCGTTCAAATAATGAATGACAATTTATTCTAAATTTTGAATCTTACATGAAGCTGATTCAGGTTGTTCTGTTTATTTTTGTTGCTAAATAGTTTTTCCCTTCTCAGTTATTATCACTTTATAGTTTCCAGAACCTGACTGTCAAAAACATCTTATAGGATTTTTTTTTTTTCTCCCTCTTTTTCTTATTTTTGGGTGGTGAAAGTATTTTTTTATTTTATTTTTTTTTTATTCATAGTGAACAAATGTGTTAAAAATCCTGTTAGCTTTTCTGACAGATGTGAAAATCTGATTGATTCCTGGCATGGTTGTATTTTTCCTGACTGTGGGGGTTTAGTTTACTCATTTATTCTTCCTTCCTTAGGGAGCAAGATGATGTGAGAGAGGAGAAAACCTACCACAAATTAAGAAATGTGTAAACATATACTATCTTTCACTTCACTGTAAAAACAAAATATGCAAATAGACTAATTGTTCACATTGCCAGTGTAAGCTGAGCATTTATGAATTCATGGATTTTTGAAATGATGCAGAAGTACAGAAAAAGCCTTTTTAGTAAGGTTCTATAATGAGAAATGCTGAATATTTTAAACAGTTTTATAACTGTGCAAATTAAAAAGCAGTACTGGAATATCTGGCAATGTTTTTACACCTGCTTTAAAAGAAGGTCTAACAGAGGCTCTAAAATCTTTATGTATCTGAGAAAGGAGTTGTTTTACAGCTAAGGAAAAAAGTAATTGTCCAGAAAGACTTTTGAGAAGTGAACAAGTTGGTTTTTTTTCCATGGCCAGACCAGTTCTATTTAACGAAGTGCCTACTTGAAATTTTTAAGGAACACTAGAAGCCAAAATTGAGATTTTCTACACAGTCAATATTTGCTTTTCTGATTCATGTTAACTTTGGAGATGGTTTTCCAGTTGTAACCTCCTCCTTTCAATATCTTTGCACAATCCTCAGTTCAGTTAGCGAGATGGCTGGACAGCCTTGACTGAATTTTACTCTTTATTTGTTTCCATGGTTTAGCTTGTGGTACTGATACAGCAGATATAATATAACTACCATTTTGGTTAACAGTCTGTGTTTAAATAAAAACAAAGCAAAGATTTACAATTCGGCTAATGGTAACTGTGTTTGGTTACATTTCTCCAGAAAGGAGCAGCTTCTTTGCAGAGATATAAAACTTCCTGCAGGATTTTGGAGCAAAGAATATTTTCTCCTTTGTTGGATTTGTGGGCCTGACTAAAGATAGGATGTTTCTTTCCTACCTTTTCAGCAACACTGGGACATCATAGAGAACAAGAAAAAGGGTACCTCCCTTTTCTCACTGTGAAGTTGTGTTTTGGCTCAGGGGGAAAAAAGCCCATGATGCTATTTGTTGCTACTTGTCCCGTTTTCTTCTCTACAGTCTTTTACCAGCTCCAGCTGTGCTTGGACTCTCTTCTCAGAGTGTTCATAGTGATGATATAGAAACAAGTCTGTGAATACTTAAAGCAAGAACCTGATTGCAAGTAGCACAGAGCATTGATGGCAGATTTGTTGGTGAGTTACATCTAATGACTTTACCATATACATTTCAGGAGCTTTACTTCCAATCAGCTCTAGTCAGGATTGTGAACTGAAAATCTGTTAGCATTTTGGAGCATATTTGATATATTTTTGGAGAACATCTTTAAATTTGTTTTTGTTGGAACAAGTACAATTTGTTCACTTTTAGACCTCTCCATGGAATGACACAAGGCACAATACACAGGTGATTGGGAGATAGGCGTCAGAAATACTCTGTTTTTTTTTTCTGGTAAAAAGTTTAAATGCATGGGCTCAGTGCAAATCACAGTCTGTTTTTCTATATTGCTTCAAATTATAGGGTATGTTTCTTCAGTATCTAAGTGCTTCAAATTCCCACTGAATTTATGGGGAAAATGAGCAGACAGTGAATTATTTAACACAAGGAAAAGGACTTGGTTTATTTTCTGAGAAACTGCCAAACTGTTTTTAATTACATTTTCTAAAAATCTGCAGTCTGAAGCTGACAGTAGCATAAGAAATTTTAGTCCGTATGGTTGAGTTGGAAATTAATGACAGATGAACTGGTGTAATACTGGAATGCTGAGCTCTTTTACAGACACTTGTCAGTATCTCTGCTGGCTAAAATACCAGGGGAAGGTGATATGAAAACTTCTGTTCCTGAAAAGGAGCTTGAAAAAAATATTGTGTTAATGAACTAAACTTGGAGTCTTGAGTTTAAGTATCAGCTCTTGCAGAACTTGCTGTGTAACTCCATTTTGTGACCTTTGATGTATTTACCAGATGCATGTAGACAGACTTTGGGTGGTGCTTGTACTGCAGTCACAGCTAAAAATGCCAATATTCATAAGAAGTTAAATGCTATGGCATGACTATTTTGGCTTCTGTTAGTGATATCTTCAGTGAGCTTGATTTCAGTTTCATATTCATGGCACGTATGTCTTCATGTCACTTGTCTAATTTGTAGAAAATTACAATTTTTTTTGTGATGGATAGTTTTTCACTGGTCTGTATATGGAGAATGCACACAATGTGGTCCATACTGAGGCTGCTTCAGGTATGATAAAGTGCAAACCAGTAAGTAACAAAACATTTCAAATCGTATGCTTCATTGTTCATATTTCAGTGCACAGTAGCCTTAGTTCTAGACAATGTCAGTGTACACATTTTTTTCAACAACACAAAGGACGTTGTAGAGGACCAGAAAAAAAAACCAAACAAACCACTGAATAGATTTTTTTGAGATAAATCTAATTCCACCTGGTCTGAGGCACAATAACAGGTATGGGGGGATAGTACTGCCACCATTGAGACTTCATGATTTTGTAAATAAAGTGGATCTCATCCAACAAACAAACACCCTTCACAAATACTACACTAGATGCATAAAACCTTTAAAAAAAAAGGTTCTGGAAAAAATGGAAAAAAATGTAGTGACTTAAAATGATGTGCCTCCTGACAGTATGGATTTCTTTATATTGCAGTACAATAGAAAGTGGACTATCAACCATGCGAGGGTTTAGCACGTCCACTGAAATACCCAAAGGTTGTATCTGTATGAGAACAAGAGCTTAAAGGTAAAGGTATTTGCTAATTAAGTCTGTGTCCGTTTTGAAACACTCTTCAGCGTTTCAAATTAACCTGCCTCTGCTTGGAGGCTATGGGGAATTGTTGTTTTGATGACAAAAGGTCTAACAATAGAAAAACAAAAGTACCAAAAGCCTTGAAGAATACATATTGGTGGAAAGTGAAAATCTATTTAATAAATAGAGAATTGTATTGTCTTTGAAATATATTAATCTATTCATTATTTATATGAATATATAGATGCAGGTACATTTACTCATTTGCATTTCTGGAGTGTCTTCTACATGGGGATTTCAATGCTTCACCTTAGTTTAATAATAAAACATGAATGTGAGCAATAGCATTATTTACATGTATATTTGAGCAATGCCTAGAGATATCTTGCTATAAATCAATACACACACAAAAGCAGCAAACCAGCTCATCTCTTTATCAGCCATAACACTCTTTACCAGAGTTATGCCAAATACTTGATCTACTTCGGCACATATGCAGCAACAGTTGAGGTACCTTACATATAAACTCTCAGGGAAGAAAAGAAGGGAACTCTTTAGTCAGAAGAAGAACGCTTTCTTTTTCTTCTTTTAAAACATGATTGATGGCAAACAGTTTCTTCTAATAAATAAAATGGACGTTGATGTAAGGAACCTAAACTAAAGATTGCTCATGTCTAAGGTATTTAGCATTATTCAAAATAGTTTAAGGAAATCTCACCATTGGTATTATAGCACAACATTTTTCAAGGTATCATTTTCAGTAAGTCCTGTCACTATCAGTCTAGAAAGACTAAGGTTAGGGTGTGCTGAATCCAGCTTTAAAATGCAGCATTTCCAACGGATTTTTTTCTGCATTTAATTTTTCCTAAATGTACATTTACTCTTCAGAAGCATGCAAAACAAAAAAATGCAAATGTGTTATGTTTTTATTTGTATTGTCAGGAAAGGATAACAAACACATGAAGGCCGAGCTCTCACACTCAAGTTTTATGTTCAAGGTTATGGTTTCTTTCCTGTAACTCTGAAACAAAACAAGGGAACAGACAGTGCATACTGAATACAATTACCTTAAATTTTATGCTTCTTTTATCAAAATGGTTTTGCTTGTACAAAATTCACCTTTTTTACTAAGTACTTTGTAAATCTAGTTTACTGTATCCCTTGGACAATACATTATTATTTATTATAGACAATATTTGTCTTACAATTAAATTTATTAGAAACTATTACCCTTTTTCCCTTCTGCAATAAGAAAAAAAATAATCTGCTTTAATGTTACTGCATGTCCTGAGTATGTCCACAGCATTATGGGAAAGTGAGGACAATTTGCTACATGTACACACCTTTACATATCAAATGTTTTTATATGCTGGTCATGTAAAAAGTTTTATTCCTTCAATCTAATCAGAGACACAACACTATAACGCTCATACCTTAGTAGGTGTAGGCCTTCCATGGTAATCGTGACTGTCCTGCTTAGTGTACTGTGGCAGAATTTGGACTTGTAATTATTAGTCTATATTTCACACTCATGACTCTGTAAAGGACTTGGAAAATGTCAGTTTTGAAATGATAGCGATTGGCACAGACTCCTCATAATTTCTTCTTTGACTTTTAATGAAACTATAGCTGAAAGGGTATATGTCTTCCCTGAGGTCCAGTAGTGTCAGTACCTTAATTGCTCACATGTACTTAAAGCAACAGTAAGGTAGTGTTATGGAAGAGGTAACACATTTTGAGCAAGAGGGGGTTTTGGAAGTAACTAGATATTTAAAAAATGGTTTAGAAACCCCCCCCATATTTCAAGACTTAAAACTTATCAGACTTAGCTTCTTTGCTCTTATCTTCGTTGACTTAAGACTCAAACCGAGGAGCTTGTTTGTTTGAAATAGATGTGGCCTATGCTCATATAATTTGAGAGTTTTGTTTGATTAGTTGGTTTCAGTTTGTTTAAAGTATTAATACTGTAGACAAACTCAAAGGAATTAGGGACCTATGGCCTTTCTTCCCCTTACAATTGGAGTGATGCGACTTCTTTATGTCTCCCATTGCAACTGTTCTACAGAAAGCTAATAGATTGGTTTACAGTGGGTTTTAAACATGACAAATCTAATGACTTCAGGGAGGCTAAGAATTTTTACAACCTAAGAATCTGCACTCATAGGAAGAAATATTGAGCTGTTAGCTAACACTTAAATCAGTCCAAAGGATGTAGAGAGGAATGAGATGGGTTCTGTATAGAATCATCAGATTTCTGGAACTGATTTATGGCCTTTAAACATTAAGGCTTCATTGGATTTTACTTCTTTCTTTTCCTCTCTTTTCTTCTCCTCTCTCTTCTCCCTTTTATTTTGTCATGTATTTAATGTATTAGCATCACTCACAAATTCATTCTTCACAATGTAAGAGGAATTTATTAATATTCCTAAGTTTACCAAAGTGTTTGGAAAAATAGGTGATTTTCTGTAAGTCTGGAAGGATTTCACTTTAGAGAATAACATACATTTAGCATTAAAAAGTCTGTATCTCTAAAAACTGCCTAATGCCCTTCCAGTATAGCAGATTAATGCTCATTAAAATGTCCTAAAGGTCTGTTTAAACCAATTCTTGGCAATTGTCCTGGGTTTAGCTGTCATTTTTTCTCCTTCTTGGGCTGGGCCAGCTCTGTTGGCAGATCCTCTAGTGTTGACCAACCAGGTGGCCTTTGGTAAGTGTGTATCCCAATGCTTGAAAGTTCCCCCACCCATTGCTCTCAGTGTAGTTTTTAACAGCCCATTGTACCTTTCGATTTTCCCAGACAGCTTGTTACCCACTCCCCCCCCTTCTTGCCCTCCCCCTACTCCTGGGGGAACGGAGAGGAGAATCAAAAAGAAATGCAACTCCCACGGCTTGAGATAAGAACAGTTTAGTAACTAAGGTACAATACGAATCACCACTGCTACCACCAACGACAACAATGATAAGAGAAAACAGCAAAGGAAAGGAGTACAATACCACGCGCCGAACCGCCAGTCCGACCCGCCCGACCCCCTCTCCTTCCGGGTTCCCCCCCAGTTCCCCCCTCGGCATGACGTGCTGTGGTATGGAATACCTCTTTGGTCAGTTTGGGTCAGGTGTCCTGTCTCTGCTTCCTCCCGGCCTCCCCTCCTCCCTGGCGAGCATGAGACTCACAAAGTCCTTGGCCAAACCAAAACATCATTTTTATCAGCTTTGTTCCGAGCCCGAAAGTCAAAACACAGCACTGCACCAGCTACCAAGAAGGAGAAAAAATGACTGCTGTGGGTTAAACCACGACAGCAATGTTCTGGGTTGCCAGATGTAAGTATGGTCCTAAAACGGTTATGAAAGATTTTTCCAAGTCTCCATCCAACTCATTCAAGGTTTTCTTGGGTGGAACTTGTCAAATTAATTTTAAAATTCAGTAAACATGGGCTTGCGTCTGTGTTAGCTGCATGGTTTAGATACAGTATACCATAGGTGTCTTTTTCCTTTTTTTTTTTTAATATATATTCAATTATTCCATCTAATCCTTTCTATTCAGTTTATTTTTTGGTAGAGATATTTACATATTTATGAACTGGAGGGGGCGTGGGAATAACCACTGTTTATGCATGATCCTCATGCCTCTGGTTTCCAGATTTGG